TGCTCCGTAGGTTCCTGCCTCCTGCAGCGTCTGCTGCCCTGGGAATAAACCGGGGCAGGGCTTTACGGGCAGCTCGGCCCCCGGTCCCAGCCAGATTTCCGCCCCGCGCGGCGCAGGGAGCGCGGCAGCCCGGGCGAGGAGCAGGGGCAGGGCCAGCGCAGCCCTAGGGCTGAGCCCGCATTCATCGCCTGTGCGGGGGGGCAGTTCCTTCTGGCTGGCATCACGGCCAGCGCCGCGAATGCCGCAGGCGGGAAAAACCCACCCGGGAGCGAATAGCACAGCGGTGAGGCGGGGTGTAAATGCAGGAGAACTGCGTGTCACTCAGTGGCTTTGTGTTGAGCAGATGTCAGCTTTCCAAGACATTCCTTTGCATTTTTTCTAGGACCCGAGCACTGGCACAAATATTATCCTATTGCCAAAGGACAGAATCAGTCACCTATTGAAATCAATTCCAAAGAGGTCCATTATGAGCCCTCTCTTCTGCCTTGGTTTGTGGGGTATGATCCTGTCGGAGCTAGGACCATACTGAACAACGGGAGAACCTGCAAAGTTGTGTTTGATGACACCTTTGATAGATCAGGTTAGTCTGGGTTTTAACTGAAGACATTCTACAGATATATGTTTGTGAAGTTCTTGGAGGACAGAATGTGCCCTGTATGCTAATATGCGATCTGCAAAAAGTGTCTCTGCACTGGCCCTGAATATCAACTCAAAAGGCCATCCTGGGGGTGATCCAAAAACTGCAATAACTGCACAGGGAGTTTTTGATTGCTGTATAGCATCCCCTACCTACAGTCTCAGGTTGGAAGTTGGGAGAGGCTGCACAGCAGCCACAGAAGGTTGCTCCTGGTTGGAAGGTGGATTTCACATCCCCAGGAGCACTGCACTCCATTCACATGGAGCCTGAGTCCTCGGGCAAGCTGCAGGGAGCACATTTTACCTGAAAGGTTTTGAGCTCTGTTGCTGGAAAACCTGTGTAAATGCAAGGTATTATTTTTTTAAAGTCTGAGCATACTATTTTTTAAAGAAAAAATATGTACAATGTTAGTCTCCAAATCCTACCGTGTTTGCACTGGCGAGACTCCTGTTGATGGTAGTGACATTCTTTTTTGCCTGAGGAAAGCCTTTAGGAAAATATATACCAAAGGATACAATTAAAAAAAATGAACAAATATGAAAAGGACAAATCACATTGCAGAACAGGAGGGGGATGCGGGGGGTGGGGGGGGAGGAAGGAAGGTAAGTGTCTGTGAATTGATGATATTAGAGGTAGGGAGAGTGGGATGTTGATGGTAGTGACATTCTTTTTTGCCTGCGGAAAGAAAGCCATTAGGAAAGGATTAGGTCTTTAGTATTTCTGCTAAATGAGTCCTCAAGTACAAAAGAAAAGGGAGGAGAAACTTCAATTTGAAATGAACTTCCTTGAAGCAAACATTAACACTTTCAAAGTATCATCACTCTTAATAATCTTCTCACCCACAAATTCTTTACAGTGTCATGCAAAGTGCTGCACATATCATATGTGGCTTTTCAGGGTTAACACAGCTTTGAAAAGACATGCTGATACTTTTAAACAAATACTAGCAGCATTTAGCATCTCTGAAAAAAAATGGGATTTCACACTGATATTGCTGGCTGTACTTCATAGGAAAGTTTCTATCAAGAAAATCAAATGATTCAAAAATTGCTTCCATCTTTGTAGAGCTTTTTAGTGATTATTTCTGAATACAGAATAAGGATGTTAAAGACTAGTCAACTATCTGATAAGCCTTTGCGATCAACTGTGCAGCGGGCTGCCCCTTTAAAACACCCCCTCTGCGTGATTCAAAGGGGCAGCCCTGGAGGCCGGGGTCAGCTGGGGATTCCCAAAGGGCAGGCTGCTAGGAGTCCACAGCTGACCCCAGACTCCGCTGCCCCTTTGAAATGCACGGAGGCGGCAGTTTCAAAGGGGCAGCCGCCACACAGCTGATCAGCTGTGTGGCCACTGCCCCTTTGAATCTGCTGCCTCCCTGTGATTCAAAGAGGCAGGGGAGCTCATAGCATGGAACCTGGGGTCAGTGGGGGACTGTTAGTCCCCCCTGCTCCCAGCCTCCATGGCTTTGAAATGCACAAGAGCCCCCACTGGGATTCCATCGTCTAGTCGACTAGTTAATCGCATTTTAACATCCTGAATACAGACTAGCAGACAGCCATAATTTCTGTTCACAAAGTATCTTGTTGTTGTGCCAATGCATCTCAGGAAGTTTTAGAAAAGATATCTACTACTTGGAGTAGAGCTGATAGGAAAATTGTAGTCAAACCAATTTTTTGTTAGAAAAACTTGTTTTGGTGGAAGAACCTGAAATGTTTTCATGACATAATATCTGATATATTATGAAATAATGTAAAAATAATATTAAAACGCAAAATTTGATACAGTAAAATTGGAATAAAGTTACACAATTCCAACACAAAATTTTGATACTCTGAAATTAACATTTTTCAAAATTGACTTTTTTCTAAGATTATTGTCTATATTCTGAGCTCAGGGGTATTTCCCCTGCTCATGTCCATGTACACTCGAACTGGCTCTCATTTTGTTAGCTCAAGTATAAATACCAGTGTAACTGTGGTGCCAGGGGTAGTGATAGAGGAGTTATGGCTTAGCTGTGCCAAGTAAATGCCAAAAGGTTTCAGGTGAGTTTGTATTTGTCATGGCTTGGCAGTGCCTCTGCTGCTGTTGTCCATGCTACCCATGGCTTCATTGCTACTCTACCTTGTACTATAGATTACCATTTCATTCAATTTTGGAAAGAAAACATTTCAAAAGAAAAACAAATTTTAAATGCTGAAATTTCCCACAAATCTATTTTTTTTACCAGCTCCAATTTGAACCCCATGCAGCAGTCCTTATGCTTGTATGTAAGGTCTGCAGAATGTACCATTTATTTGTAATACTGTACGTGAAATATGAAGCTAAAAAAGGGGAAAAGAAATTATTGTCCATTTATGTTACAGAGTGAAAGACTAGCCTCTTTTGGAACAATGTATGATGTTATTTTCAAACTGCACTGTAAACTTCAACTATTTTGCTATTAATGGCAATTTTAATTAGTATGAAAGAATTTGCTAATAGATTCAATGCTCTTCAATATTTAAGTGTGTATGCATATTCTCTTTTTTTTTAATTACATTAATGGATTCATGAAAACAAATCTATAGTCAAAATGAATACAAGATGAATTATCCAATAAAATAAAAAAACAGAAGCACACAACAGACTGGGAATAGTTATGGGACTTTGATTAGTTCTCTAGCAAAAACAAAAATCTCTTTCATGGAAATCGCTTAGCATTTCTTCCTACTGTGTAATTATTTTCTTTATTAGTTTAATGTTGGTGGCATTTGCAATGGAATTCTATCATTAATGAGCTACATCAAACTACATCATTAATGAAATGTAACGGCAGTGTACTAAAGACCTCCATAATCACTGCTAATTATGCTCCCTGGGGCCTTCTCATTGTTTCTCCCACCATCTGTTTGTTGCATCCACCTGTAGTCTCTCATTGCATACTTGGATTGTAAGCTCTTCAGGGACCATAAAGAGCATTATGTGATGGAGCTCTGATGATGACTGCAGCCCCTAAGCACTACTCTCAAGCAAATAAATAATAATAAAAATAGTCTTATGTAAATTATGAGGTGCGTAACCAGAAGAATTTACAGAAATGTCTAGCAGCTACAGATCACACTCACTGCTAGGTTAACAGTGACAGGTTGGACTTAGTATTGCAGTTATCATGGATAGGAAAAGTTTTACTTTAACTATTTGGGATCATGTATCAGAGCAGTTCAGTGAAGAAAAAGGACATCTCCAGTGCTGTGGCTGGGATAGTTATACTCAAGCTAAGAAAGAAGGAGATCAAAAGGATGTAATATCCAGCCTGTAAGATAATTTTCAACCTTCACTTGTGTGCTGCATGTCAAAGCGTCCGTGCCAATCTAGACGCGCTTTTCCGCAAAAAAGCCCCGATCGCCATTTTCGCGATCGGGGCTTTTTTGCGGAAAACAAATCTGAGCTGTCTGCAAAAGTTTTGCTCAGAAGGGACTTTTGCCTGAACGGAAGCAGAATAGTATTTCCACAAGAAGCACTGATTTCTTACAGTAGGAAGTCAGTGCTTTTGCAGAAATTCAGGCGGCCAGTGTAGACAGCTGGCAAGTTTTTCCGAAAAGCTGCTGATTTTCCAGAAAAACTGGCCATTCTAGACACAGCCTCTTAGCCTCTGTTCCTATGTACTATGCCAGGATGTTGTTGTTTTTCACATGGAAGTGAGCTTTAATCCTTTCATTACTTGCAGTAGAGGAACAGAACAGTTTTAAAGAATTTAGTTCCTCAAGCTGAAACAAAATAAAGGGTCCCTTTTCCTACGGGACACAAGCTGGGAATTCCCAGCTGATTCCCAGCTCGTGCTCAGTCCCAGATTCTGCACCTCTGCTTTTTAAATGAGGTGCCTGGCGCCTCTGCCTCTCTGGCCCCACTTTTAAGCCAGCTCCCCCTAGCACCGGCTCCTGCTCTCCACACACTTTCCTCTCTGTGATAGAGGCAGCAAGAGTGGGGGAAGCGACTGGTCAAGTCACTACTTGACTACCCGATAATCAAGTTGACTAGTCACTTATATCCCTAAATGAACCCCCCCCCCTCAAAAAAAGAGAGAGAAACTCTTTTCTTCCATCAGACATGTTTCTTTGATTTTTTGGTGAAGTTCTGTGGCCTGTGTTGTACTGGAAATCAGATTAGATGATCACAGTGTCCCTTCTTGACTTGGAACCTATGAATTAAAGTTAAGCCTTAGTCTTTAATGTCCTTATGCCTGGATCAAAATCAGTTAGGCACAAATTAATCCCTATTTAAAGGAGACAGAAACGCTTCTTTGAGGCATGAAACTTTTAGTTTCTCCTGGTGCCAGATTTAAAATGACCAGCGATAGCTCATAAGAAAAAATACTGTGTTATTTCCCCTCAAACAGGATTACTTGGTTTTACAAGTCTGTTTTAATCAATGACAATCAATGACCTTGACAGTTGCTACTTATTGCATTGACAAACTGTCTACAGTATTTCATTGTCTGGGAGAACACATAGAAGGAAGATGGCCTCCTTCCATATCCTTTAGATGCTTTATTTCTAGGACTTTTCAGAAAAGAGCTGAGCATGAACTTATTTGCTATCTTTTCATATGTAGAAATGTAATTGTCCTTACATAACGTATATAGACCCAATCCTATGAGGTGCCAAATCCTTTATAGAAGTTTTTGAACATCTTTAACTTCCATGAAAGTTAGTGAGTATTGAGGATGATCAGAGCCTCAAGGGTCACACCTAACCTATTAGCTGGAAAGTATGGGTGTGTCTAGACTAAATGGCTCCGTTGGGGGAGCCATGTAGATGAGTTTACTAGACATAGCAAAATGAAGCAGCGATTTAAACAATTGCTGCTTCATTTACATAAAATGGCCGCCGCGCTGTGCTGATCAGCTGATTGTCGGCACAGCGCGGTAGTCTAGACAGGGATCAGCCGACCCCAGAACCTTTTGTCATCAGATCCTTTATGCCTCGTGAAACACTTTATTTTGCTATGTCTAGTAAACTCATCTACATGGCTCTGTCGATGGCGCCATGTAGTCTAGAACATGTATGGATTCTTGACTAGTCACTGTGATGATATTGTCAAATGGCATTTACCTTGTTCTTAGTGGTCTATATACAAAATCTTCCTATTGTTTGGAATAATGCCTCATTAATTTATTGTGCATTATTGCAATGGGAATGACATTTACTGAACTTCTGTAGGGA